GCGCGCCGAGCGTGTAAAACGGGCGGCCGAGCGACAGTCAGAGCTGGAGGCCGACATCGGCACCAAAGGGAGGCGCGACGTTCCGCACACCGATGGATGTCCCAAATTCGAGACGCAATGAGGGGACCGACGAGACGCAGGCCATAGACCCAGAGAGCATAGCTCCCCCTGTTTTGGCAGGTTCTATTTATCACCGCCGGGATTATGCAAGGGCAGCGGACCCAAGTGTATTCGCAGAACAGCTTCCGGGTCGGCGGAGGGGCGTTCGTGGAAGGAAGCATTCTTGGTCTATCAGTAACGGCGGCGAGAACCATGCCGCTTTGGTTATTTGGTATCTATGGTTGCTCAAGCCGCACGACTTTGGAGGGTCGTAAGGCGCACCGTGTAGGTGAGTGACATGTACTTTGTAGTTTGGTATTTGGTAAATGGCAAATGCTGATTATTTTATGTATGTTTTCTTTCGTTGCGTCTGTGTATTTGTTTGCTTAGTGCACGGTCATACGGTCATTTATTAAGTTTCTGTTTATTTCGTTTCCAGAAACCGCTTGCTTCACTATGTTTTGCCATATAAATTCATCTGTGGAGCTAAAGCGCGTTTACCTGCCGGTCGGCGCACCATCCAGAGGCCCTAGACAGCGGTCGGCGGTTATAGGTTCTATGAGCTAAACATGGCTGGCTCAGATGAGCCTCGGTCCTTTGTAGGAAGACTGCAAACACTAGCAAGAGCTGCTACGCCAGAGCTGAGCGTGGAGGCCCAGAAGCAGTTGGTGGCCGAAAAGATCACCCGTGCCGTACCCAGCCAGTGGCGTCTGATTTATCCTGGTCGCAACCCCCGCAGCTTTATGGTGTTCAAGAAATTTCTTCCCTTTACTTGCAGGGTGGGACCAGCTTAGTCCCTATCTCTTAACCATTAGCGGTTTTTTGATGACGTCAGCAGTCATTTCAACGCCCGCCATTCCTTGAACCCGAGTTTTGCTGACCTTGAGCTCCTTTTTTTATCAACGTGAAATCCGTCGTCGGCGCTGAGAAAGCCTATTGCTTTTCATTTTAATTTGAATATTAGAAGATACCCACCACTGGAACTTGGACTGATATTATACCAAGGCCGAAGATGATCAAGCTGCCTGCTATATCTGGAGCTTGGTGTTCAACTTCAACATGGAATAAAAACAAAATATCAAAGCAAACTGGATATGGTACTGCAAGTTAAAGTCCAAAGAAATTTGAAGAGCTGACAATTGACATTAATTCTTTTCCTGCAAGGTTTCCATATGGAGATCACAGTCACACCATGAAGAAATATTTTTGATGTTAACAGTTGAAAGGGGATTTATCTTCCAGTTTTGACGAAAGACGCTGCTGACTGTCTTTGGAAAAGGATGTCGGCATGAGGTGCAATTGTGCTTGTGAAGTGGTTATAACTGGTCTTTTCACAGTATTAAATTAAATGTGCCATTGCAGCCAAGTGTGTTATCATGTAAGGTAAAATCAAAACTACAATGTTGGTTTTACGAGCATTGAGAAGGCTGGTAGGTAACACCTGCCTGTGCTCGTAAATCATGCTGCCAGAGTATTCTAAATTAATTTTATCATACACTTTTGTTGTCCAGAATGGTTGCACTATTGTTTGGTATCATATTATTCCATGTAATAGAGGATTCTTCATGGCTCCGAGTGGAAGATAAGGATATCTTTTCCAAGCGGGTTACTGAAAAACCGAGCGACGAAGGAGCGAGGTTTTTCTGTAACACGCGAGGAAAAGATATCCGATCTTCCACGAGTGAGCCATGAGGAATCCTATATCTTTCTATGTTGAGGTTTATTCTTAATCAATGAAATATTATATTAAAATGCATTCATCGATGTAAAATAGATTCAGAGTAGTTTGTTCTTATTTCATAAGTTTCATCCATAAACAACCATTAAAAATGTCGTTCGGTTATTGACCCATCATCACATGAACTCTTGATTTTTCGCTATGAACCCTCGAGACCTTATCTTTGCATCTCAGAGGGATGCAGATATAACAAATTCTTATCTTTGCATCTCAGAGGAGTGCGAGATAGAAATATCCCTGCACTGTAGACCCAATGGCAAATAAACCTCAACTAGAAAGATAATATGGTAGTGTAAAGTCCGACAAACATGTTACCAGATTTGAAGCTGTTACGTTACCTAAGTACCTGTTTTTTACTGGCGTGGTGAATGTCACCTGGATTTTGTTTTGAGGTGCAGACCTAGTAACTCTGACTACATGGGTTTGAAGCTATTATCTATTCTGTTTTTACTGGCCTGGTGAATGGCGACTGATGTTGTCCATGGATGGCACTGAAACAAATTTTGAGTGTTTTGTACAGTGTTTTAATACAATGCTGAGGGCTGAAAGTTGTCTTGTTTAGAGTGGTGAAAGTTCAGGATATGCCAGCCACCATGGTGGGTCAGAGTTAAATGTGTTGCAGTCAGTTCGGCTTCGGCAAGCACACGGATGGGCATACGCATCAAGACCTGCTCTGCCATACTTTCAGCCAATTTTACCTAGGTAAGTCTTTTCTTTTTTTCTGCCAAAAGCTATGACATTGTGAATTTCAGCACTGTGGCCTGTGTGTAGCTTTCAGGAAAGCAATTCTAAATAAAGCTCTGATAAAGTGCAAAATCAGCAATGCAGCCCTCTATTACATTTTCTACAACATCTTACTTGTTCCTTGCATGGAGAGAAAAATGCAATGTTATGAATTCGTTTATTCACATAATTTGACAAGCATGCAGTTACCTGCTACTATCACTGCACAAAACAGAGCAGAAAACATCAGTTGATCAAACACAAGACATAACAGAAGTTTACAACATAGGGCTGCCGAACCTGCTTCCTCCCACCGCAGTTGATGCCATTTCCTAGCCTGGCTTGATGTGAGCACTGAATAGCTGCTCTGTCTAATTACAGCTCACTACCATTCAACTTAAACTACTCTCTTTAAAGTAAGAGTGAGAGCGTTCAGTGTTCATAGCAGCTCGACAGACGACAGACAACAAACATCTTGACAAACCAACCAGTATTTGATTTGGCTAATGATTTATGTGCTTGTTGTATCATGGCCAAACTACTTTAACAGCAATAATCCCTGTTTCATCTTGATCTTGCTTTTATTTCCATTTGAACTCAGATCTTGAAACAATCATCTGAAGTGATATCAGATACTGGCTTCTGTTTCTCTTGAAAGCAAGTTAAAACAACAATGATAAACTAAGGCAGGAGATGTGAGTTGTGGCAGTAGATTTTTGATTCAACATGTCAAACTTATATTGCTTGAGACCTCTGTGACAGACAAACAAATATTTATAGTTTTTTGATAGTTTGGATTCTTGGCTTGATTTAGCAGATCAGCTGTGAACCTTGACTTTGAAATCACATAAATGTCATGGTACCCGAACGAATCCTCGCATGACATTTCTTCGTAGCACAATTTTTCGTCCGCATTTCTTCGTCTACAAATCTTCGTCGGTGCATTTATTTGTCCCTCAATGCTTACTCTTGCATATATTTGCGTTGAAGAAGAAATGCGAGCCGATTTTCATATACCCTGGTGCGAGACAAAGTAATGCGATAGGTACGAATAAATGCCCTGACGAAGATTTGCAGACGAAGAATTGCGATACGAAGAAATGCCATAAGAATTGTCCTGGAATCCTTTATTGGCCATCATATTGACCTTGATAAGATAAACGCATCATTCGCGCAATATTTGTCGCACTTTGATACCAAACTATTGCTTCCAAATGCCGACGTAAAGAAAACCTTTATGTGACGTCATAGAAACAGCGGATTTCCCAAAAAGTAAACAAAAATAAAAGTCTTATATCTCGAAAACGGGTGAATATTTTCCGGTAAAATTTGGTAGCTGTTCATTTTCGCTCTTTGTGATTCACGCTACATCACTTTTATGCCAATTCATTAACTTTTTTGAAGGTGGGAGGGTCCCTTTAAGTGTGGCCGCAGGGGCCACTTGGCAGCAGTGTGTCGAGCCGGTTCTACACGTGAAGAAGGATGAGCATGCTTCAGATGTGGTGGGAGAAGGCATGTTCAACGGCAGTGTCCCTCCCGACTAGGGACGTCAAGAAACGAGGCAGGCGGCATCGGATCAAGAGAGAGGCAGGAGCAGGAGGCAAGATGTGTATCAAGAACAGAGACAGGTGGAGCTAGACCAAGAGAGCGACAGGAGCAGGAGGCAGGAACAGTGCGGCGGGTGGAATCGGACTGCCCAGCAGAAGTGAAAGTGGTAGTGAGCCTCAACGGAACCGAGCTTCAAGCAGTGACGTTACGGTGGCGGTTTTCTTCAATTCTAACTACAGTTTCACACTTAAACTTCACGTAACCACTCTTTCCACTTTTCTATCATTCTCCCGCGCAGAAGGGGATAGACACGAAGAGTAAGTACCGTTCTCAATTCGTTCCTTCTTGTATTCGTTCTACTTCGTCCCGCCGTTGGTCCGCCAGAGTGACCGAACGCTACAGAAGCAGTACCAACGAAGGTACCGTAGGGTTACATAAACATTAACATATAATTGAGTGCATAGTGCACACATATACTTATATATATATTAGGGTGGTAGGCAAAATATCAACTTAGTAATTTTTGTCAGGCCAGGTGATAATTTTGTTCCTTTCCCTAACGTGAGTGTGTCACAGAAATTTCACTGCGATATTCAGTTGTTTACCCCTGCCGCATCGACCTTTTCGGTACGCATCGAACCTTGGCTGAAGTCTTCCCTGAATGAGGGTTTCCTTTCTCAACAGCAGCCTTTTGATGCAGCCGTTTATATTCACGTTCTAGGTTCAAGAGTACCTCAATGATGTTGCTGTCGCGGACTCTGCCGCTACCGCCGAGCCGCGCCGGTACGTGCTGCGTTGTTATAGGGCCTTGCGTGCTGCCATCTATTGGCCTGTCTTGAACTTACTAGGGAGCGGCGGCTCCGCCATACTAGGACATAGGGCATAGGGCAGCTGCTCAACGTTCCTAAGCTGCCAAGCGCAGCTGGTCACGCAATGGCGGACGCTGTCGTAGCCTCGCTGAAGAGCTGGCGTCTCACCGATCACGTGAAGGCCATGTCTTTCGACACGACCGCCAGTAACTCGGGAGTTCGGGGAGGTGCAGCTGTCTTGATCGAAGGGAAGCTGGGCAGAGATCTGCTGTTCCTCCCCTGTCGTCACCATATTCTGGAGATCGTCTTGGCGGATGTGTTCAAGTCCCTCTTCGGGCCAACTTCTGGCCCGGAGATCCCCATCTTCAAACGCTTCAAGGAAAAGTGGTCCTTTGTCTGTCGGGATCGACCGGAGGAGGGTGCGCTGGATAAAGAAACGGCCGTCATCCTCGCTGGACATCAGGATCTCAAGACTGCTGCTTTGGAGTATGCCATGGAGACTGTGGAGCAGGACCACCAGCGCGACGACTTCCGCGAGCTCTTGGAGCTCACGATCGTCTACCTTGGCGGAGTCCCTCCCAGAGGCATTCGGATCATGGCACCCGGAGCCATGCACCAGGCCCGATGGATGGCCAAAGCAATCTACGGATTGAAGATCTTCCTGCTCCGGAGCCAACTCAAGCTGACAGTGAAGGAGACCACGGCCCTGAGAGTTTTCAGTCTCTTCGTCACCTTGGTGTACACTGAGGCCTGGTTCCGTGCTCCCCAGGTTCTGGAAGCCCCACTCAACGACTTGAACCTCTTCAAGAAGATTCGATCTTTTTATGCTATCGACGCGGAAACGTCAAAGATAGCAGCAGAGGCCATGGGACGCCACACATGGTATCTTGGGGAGGAGTCCGTGGCCCTCGCCTTTTTTGACCCTCGCGTTCCCTCAGAGACAAAGAGGGAGATGGCAGCAGCCCTCAAGACGGAGATGGACGGTCGTCCGCCCAAGAGACCAAAGCTTGGGGATCCCGCCTCTCTGCCACTCCCCGATCTCGTGACGGCAAGAAGTAAAAGATTCTTCGAGATCCTGGGAACCGAAGTGGGGTGGATGGAGAAGGTGCCAGACGACTGGGTGGACGATGTATCCTTCCAGACTGCAAAGAAGGTTGCGTCTGCCCTTGTCACGGTCAATGACAGGGCCGAGCGCGGCGTGAAGTTGATCCAAGACTACAACGCGCTCCTCACCAAAGACGAGAGCCAAAAGCAGGCACTTCTCCATGTGGTGACGGAGCACCGGAAGCGATTCCCCAATGCCAACAAGTCAACAGTCGCCGCCGCGTCCACTTCCACTTCTGTCGTCCACTGATGACTTCTTATCAGACTTCTCATCCAACGTTCTACGATAGCACTTACTGCTGAGCGCCAAGCGTCGCTACCATGTGTGTAGGCTTTGCTGCGAAATTTCGCTTTTTGTGACTGTATGCAAATATATGTTTATAAGGGAAAATTTTGATTGATGTGCGGCACGGGTTAATGAAGCACGAAGGCTCTCAAATTTTGCACACAGTGATTATCTTCCAAAAGGAACAAAATGAGGCACTGGCCTGGAAGAAAGGAAAAACTTTGAATTTTCAGCACCACACTAATATATATATATATATATATATATATATATATATATATATATATATATATATATATATATATATAAAACGCTTAGGGGGGCTCGGCGACGGGTCGGCAGGTGACGGCCACAGCCCCGGATACGTGATCTTCGAGCAAATTGGCCCATCCCGTCCCTGCCAGCTTTTCTTTTGTTCTTTCGGAAACTTTCACTACAGCTCTCCCCTTCCAGGTGAATGTAAAGTTATGTAGGTACCCGGTTGTGCGAGTTTCCTCGCTGGGCAGGATTGGTTTCCTGCCAGCAAGCCAGGGACTGTTCTTCTTTCGGAGACTTCACTTCATATTCCAAGTGAATATAAAGTTATGTAAGTACCCGGTTGTGTGAGTTTCCTCGCTGGGCAGTGGGCAGGATCAGTTTCCTGCCAGCTTTTCTTTTTTATTCTATTGGAGACTTTCACTATAGCTCTCTCCTTCCAAACGAATATATGAAGTCAGATACCGGTGCGGTAGTCACCAGCGCTGATGCTGCGGCTCGAGGGTTGGCCACCGGTAGCGTCATTCTATGGCTCAACGGAAATGAATTATACAGTAGTCTCTCTGGGCTGGCCGTTTCTTCCTTTAGGGATTTGGATGCTATCGGCTACGCGGCCCGGGCCGTGTTACATCGTCTTCGTGACCATGCAGTTTCCGTCGTCGTCCTCGGCCCCCTGCCGCGACCTGCCATGGGGAAGTGAGCGGCATAGAATGGACAGCGAGGGCGGCCGACGGTTTGGAACGAACGTTAAAGAAACGGGATTTCTGAGGTGTGACGTTTGTTCCCTTAGGACGGGTACTAACCCGAAAGATGTGGCGAAATGACCAGGCTTTGGCGCAGTGTCATCATTGGTTTAAGCCAGACGGAGTATGCCTCTCCGCTGAGGGCTACGAAAGGGTGGCAGATGCGACTCACTTTGCGATCTGGTTGAAACTGGGAGCCAGCTGCCGCTAATACCGGGGTGCGCGAGGAGCAGCGATGTGTGGACGGTGGTGATTGACCCGGAACAGGCGATAGCAAGAAGAACTATACGATAAGGACCTGAAATTAAAGAATTTCATTTAACAAAGTTCATGTAGCTGGCACAATTAGACGAGCCTCAAGGTAGAGATAGGAAAAATGAGATCACGGGATTGGGCGTGAACACAGGGTGCAAGGTGTTGTATGGCAGTTTGAGTACCGGCTGCGATAAGTGGAGGCCACTGTCCGCCGGCTCTCCGCCGCAGGCAGACGTCAGATGACGTCAGCGCCCGGCGGCCAATCATCGGGGAACATCAAGGGCATTCCGAGCTCGGATGCAGCGACGGTAGGATGTCGTCGCATACCCTGTGTTTTTAGTTGGATGCAGTTAAATATACATACAGGGTGGGCCAAAAAAAGTGTGTCACTTTTCAGAAGCTATTTCTCGAAAGTGGTAAAAGATACCAAAAAGAAACTTTCACAACCAAAAGAAAATCGTTTGACAAATTATATGATACCCATTTTATGTAAAGTGTCAATCGAACTGACGTTGCCATCATCATTTCAAAAATGGGATCTGTGCGTCTCTATTTTATTTGCGCATGCGTGCTCGAAGTGGGCACCCCTCGCTGAAGGCCATCTGAACGCGCTCCAGGAAGCTGGCGCCCACCCTCTCCGCGGTGTCTGCTGGCACTTCACGCACGTACTGCTCGACGCTGACACGCAGCTCCTCCAGGCTACCGGATTTGTTGCGTTAGACGCTGTCCTTGCAGGCTTCCCAAAACCAGTAGTCCAGCGGGTTGAGGCCAGGACTGTGAGGACTGAGGAGCCCACTACTCTTCGCTTTCCTTGGAGATCACGCGGCGACCGAAGAGATCTGGGAGCAGCCGCAGCAGTGCAGGAGTGTCTCTCGGGCCGTGTGCAGTGGCGCTCCATCTTGCATGAACCAATCTTGTCGCTGGACGGCGCCATGCGGTCCAGCGCGGACGCCCGGGCGGGGTCAATGACCGCCGCCGGCGTGGGCTCGGGACCGATCGCCGGCCCGCCAGCTGACGGCCGCCGGCCGCCTGTTGAGTCTGTGGGACCGGGCCCGCGGCTGCACGAGGGGATCAGCCTGCAGGAGTTTGGGACGTGGGAGACCCGTGTCCGGGCACACGCCAGGCGTGCCAGGTGGGACAGCCTTCCCATCGAGGAGCAGACGGCGGCTCTCCTCGCCCTGCTCGACGACTAATGGACAAGAACTCTCCAGCACGGGCTGGACATTGCAACGCCCAACACATGTGAGAATCTTGTCGCGGCGTTCAGGAAACACCTGCGCGGGCAGCGCAGCGTTGTGCTGGACAGACGTGAGTTTTTCATGCGCCAGCAGGAGCCCAGTGAGACTTTCGATGATTACCTAGTAGCGCAAAAGGAACTCGCTCAGTTTTACGACTTTTGTGTTCACTGTCGTGACGAACAGTTTCGTGATCGCCTGGTGAATGGGATCAGCGACCAGGAGTCTCTCCAGGCCATGCTGGCTGAGCCTGAACTGACGTTGGAGAAGGAAATCAAAGTCTGCCGGGCAAACGAGAGTGCCAAACGAAACGCTGGGGTGCTCCGTCCGGCCACGGTGCAGGCGATGTCGGCCTACCGGCGCGGCCGCAGCCTGCGCCGCCCCAGCCCAGCACCGGCTTCGGACGCCGGCCGGCGGCGCTGGTCCAACGACGGCAGCGGAGGCAGTCGTTCACCGGCTCCACGGAGCCGCGGCACCGGCCGGCGGCCGGCCCAGGGACCACGACAGGCGCGCCGGACGGGGCGATCGGCATCACAGCCCGGAGCCCAGCGACCGGACGTGTGGTCGCTGTGGCCGCCGCCGGCACTCCTCTGGTGAGAGGCGCCCGGCCAGACAGGCCGCCTGTTTCGAGTGTGACGTCACCGGCCATTTCGCCCGCATGTGCCCGAGCGCCAGTGGCCGGAGGACTCCTTGAGCGGCCGGCCGCGGGCCGTCACCGTCGGCAGGCCGCCGGCGGTCGGTCCAGGCCGTCATAGCTGACGTGCGCGTGCGGAGCACGTCTGACCGCCGGTCACCGAGAGTCCGTCTGCAGACACGGCACAGCGGCGAACTCCGAGCGATGCTGTGGACTCCGGATACAGGCGCAGAGGTCTCCTGCATCGGACCGACCCAAGCTGAACAGCTCGGCGTGGACCCGAGGAGCCTCTCGGCAGCGTCGGAGCGGTCCTACGACGCCAACGGACAGGAGCTGCAGTGCAATGGCCAGTTTGCATGCGACTTGTCACTCGGTGACAGATCGACCTCAACGACTGGAATCGTTCTACACGGACTGAACGCTGCACTGCTCGCGTGGTTCGACGCGGTTCATCTGGGTATCCTACCCCCGGATTATCCGCAGCAGATCTGTGCAATGAAATAGCGGCGCGCGCCCCTCCGCGCCGCAGCCGCCGCCGCCCGCCGGTGCGGCGACTGGCCCGACATCTAGCGGCCCGCCCGTGGCGTCTCGCCTGTTAGGCCGAGATGTAGTGACGTCGAGTGACGTAGTGTCGGTATAGTGTATGTTGTGGTGTCAGTGGTAACTCGGCAGGCCGACGGGCCCTAAATTGAGGAAGGCCCGGGATGGGACAGCATGGTAGCCTCCGGTGAGTTTTTATTTAGCTTCTTTGTTAGATGGCGGAGAGCAGACTGAAGACGACACTTAAGACCCTGTTAGCGCGGAAGTATTCAATTTAATGGACATTTATCCCGCCTGGGGGTCAATCGTTCATTTGGTCACCGGCACTACTGGATGGGAATTTTTGGGGGCAGCACAAACGAATAGTAGCATGTAAGACGTGAAAGGGGAAAGGTGAATGGAGACGGATGAATCTTAGAGTAAGGACCAGTAGGCGTTGTGCTGAACTCGGTCGGATCGATCACATGAAATGACACTCGAGGGCATAAGGAATTTAAGCACTAATATGTCATTCAACCTCGCAAAGCCGATTCAATGTACCAGAATGACCAGCCTCAAATAACATAAAGCACCGACCATCACCCGATGCAATATTGTCTGCAAGGGAGGACTTTCATCACTTTCTATCTTTTCTCTATCTTTGTTCTTCCTCTATTATATCTTCTCATTTTCCTCTTTGACCGTCTATCGAGGGAGTACTGACGAAAAATAGCGTTTTTCTTCATTTCTAACTATAATTTCACACTTCAACTTCACTTTTCCACTTTTCCCACTTTTCTATCCCTCTTCCGCGCTACACTCTGTTGTTCTGAGTCTGGTTAGTTAAATATACGTCATGTTGAATGTTATCTTTCAACATAACAGTGATGGCTCTGACGGGGCTGCTGCAAGACTATAAAAGCGGCTGCAGGAGCTGGAGCTGGTTCGAAGCTCCGAGTTGGTGTGGGCGCCGGGTCAGGCCGGACCGCGGCTGCACCGGGAAGGACGGCAACGCCGCACAGCTCGACATGGAGAGGCGAGCTGTGGTTGCCGCCTGACAGAGTTGTGCCTGCAGAACAGCTCTGGTTGTCGTCCGCCGCATGGAGTCAGTGTATCAGCAGCTGCGGAAACAGCGCCGTTGGATGATGCAGCTGGACGGAAGAGCTGCGGCTCAGCGTACCGGGCTGTAGCTGACTGACAGGACTGTGCCGCCGGACACGCTGAACGCTCGCAGCAGTGGGGTGAAATGTGTGCTGGCGAGTAACGCTCGCAGCAGTGGCGGAGATGCGTGCTGGCGAGTAACGCTCGCAGCAGTAGCGGATATTGTAACATTGTCAGATGCTGTAGGCCATATGTCAGAGGTTGTATGTGTGACGACCGACGACCGAGGCGACCCCTACTCTGAGTCGTCGACTGCGCCGGCCGCCGCCGGACAGTCGGAATCGGTCACAGAGC